TTTCCGCCACTCTCACCCACAACCCTGAGAAGCTGCCGCTGCTGGATCTGCACCAGCCTCGACTCTTCAGTTCCACACACAGCTGTGCAGAGAGCACCACACAAAGCCAGGACGCATTTAACTTCCCTCAGGGTCTCGTTGTGAGTTTAGCACTTCCTGAGAATTGTAATCAGACACCATAGGATATAAACTGGTAACAGATCTTCTCTGCATAACTTTAACATACTGTATATGGGAATGTCTTGCGCAGGAGTATTATGTCCCCTGCACCTTAAGCAAAAAAACGCTCATCATCCTTCACTTCCTGCTTCGGCTCAAGTTCAGTCCTGCTTTGTGCTTCACAAACTCCAGAGAAGCAGCAGCATTGTAATGATGCATTTTTCAGGACTGCTGTATATATTAAGGGCTCCAGGCCATGGTTAAATTAGTTGCAAATTAAAAAAAATAAACAACTGCAACAATTAATTAACATCTTATTAATTTTTAAACATTTTTTTAAATGTCTTTTTGAATCGATTTAGCAATTTTTTTTTTTTTTTTTACTTTATTAGTTAAAAGTGTTCATGGACGTCTCTGCATGGCATATCGATATCTTGACATGTATTGTTGCTTATTCTGCAATATGCCATTCAGTATATGCCACATTTAATATTATTTACATATACACACTACCGTTCAAAACTTCGGAGTCTGTAAGATTTTTTGTGATGTTTTTGAAAAAAGTCTCTTATTTTCACCTAGGCTGCATTCATTTGAAAAATACAATAAAAACAATTATATTGTGACATATTATTACAATTTAAATGTTAACATATTTATTTTAATATTGATTAAGCATTTATTTAAAAAAGAATATTGTTGTAAATATTATTTACATATTTTAAATATTATCACACTTGAAATGTTTTCTATTGTTTGTTTTGTTTTGTTTATTTCTGTGATGCAAAGCTGAATTTTCAGCATCATTACTCCAGTCCTCAGTGTCACGTGATCCTGTAGATCTGGTGCGCAAAATGAGAATTATTCTTGCGTGAACTAATTTAGTGAACAATTGTAAATAAAATGGAAGACATGTCTTTAAATATGTATTTTTGCAGATTAAAGTTTGATGATTAGTGAAAGAATCTGTGATACAAGGGCATTGTGGAAGTATTATTTATTTATTCAGGTTTGTTACATTTGATTTTAAAAACTTTGTGGCAACACTGTAAACATGACAATGGAAGAAAGCGCTTCTGGTTGCAGTTCTCTAATTTGGTGACTAAACGTGGCTCCTATATGCTTCATTCATTTTTGGCTCCTTAGTCATTTTAATAGTCTGGAGCCCTGAATATAAAATTGAATTTGATTATAATCATGAATAATTTACAAGGATGTAAAGTGAAGTCATCTGCACCTAAGAAAAATAACTGTACAGACAGAGCACAGAGCAAGGAAATTCACACAAATATGTGGATATACTCTAGTCTTAGTTGTGATCTTTTGCCTAAAATGTGTTCAATGAAAGACAAACCATGTATTTTTGATTTCATCTAACTGTTTTTTCTGTCTCTCAGACTGTATTTGCTCGTGAAGCTGTTTGTCGGTGTGGAAGTGGCTGAGTTTTCCTCTAAACTGAGCACAAGCGAATGACAAAAAACACTGAAGGACTTGGAGCAAGGGAAGATCCCACTGTACGTATGTCTTCAGTATCTGCCCTAAGCGTTCAGGAACAACCAACCCAACAAGATGTATAGTAATTTACTTCTGTCATAACACCATGCAAGGCCGGAAAATTATTTTTGAAATAATTACGAAATATGGATTTACAAAATTCGAAAGCGTCTCATAAATATATACAGTATATATAATCAGTCCCTCCAGGATTTTGCGATTATGCGATCATAAAATTTAACGCAAAATCAAACAAACCCCGCATAATGTGGAGGAGCTTGCAATTTTTCTAAATTGCCACAGATTTCCCGCTGAATTTTGGGCCTGTACACGTCGTGTGATGTCATTGCAACACACATTCAACCAAAGCCCACTTGCTGTTATGTTTAAAGTTTATTATAAAATACTAACTTATTAGCCATATAAAGCTTGAAATAATTCAATAATAGTCAAAAATAATGTAAGTGTTTTTGTTTTGTCATATACTTGATACACCAGACTTTTATGGCCCATATAGTGATATAGTGAGAATATGGAGGGAAAAAACAGCTCAATTATAATTAAGAGGCCCAAACTGAGCAAAAATAGCAATTTGGTGCAGTTGCTATTCATATGGCCAACATGTGATTTTTATAACAGTATGCAATTCAAAAGGTGATTGCAAAATGAACAAATAAATGTTCCTCATAAGCCGGTTGTATCATTATTTGATACATACATTTGTAACATGATTTTTGTAATGCTAATGATTTTGCTCATTTTGCCCCGACATCACATTTTGCTCATGTATTAGAGATTTTTCAACAAAGTTTTGATCATGTTGATAATTTAGAGTCCTTAGAAATTCATGTATTAACTACAGAATTAAGAGGACAGCACTTAAGTTTCCCTTTTTGCTTCTATTAGTGTTCTCTTTTTATGAATTATGGAGCATAATGTTTCTTGAGGTCAGAAAAGTAATACAAATATTAGAATAGCGTTGTCTGTGGTATATTTTTGCTGCAAAACAACACAAGAAATACTGCAAATTTTGATATAAGTCGCTGCAAAATCAGAAAAAAAGTCTCGCAAACTCCTGGTGGGACTATATAGTGTATGCAATGAAATATTGTTGATATTCAGGTTAATAAGCACAGATGCTGCTGCCAGAGGCATTGATATCCATGGCGTGAAATGTGTCATTAATTATGATGCTGCTCAGAACATCCGAACATACATTCACAGGCAAGTCATCATAATACAATATGATTGGTTGAGTTACTCCATATGCTCTAATGGCTGAATGTCACAAGAATTGTGCTTGAGTACTTTTAGTTTTGTTTGTCTTTCAGGAAAAGAGTTTCTAGATGGTGAGAGATGCTGGCAGTCCTGGCATACAGAGGCATTTTGTGCAACCAGAAGCTCTTAAAAGCATGGAGACTGTAAACTGTAAATTGCTTTATAGGGTATGGTAAAAACAAACAAAAAATTAAATGTTGTAAATCACAAATATGTGTAATTTTACTGTGTAATTATTTTGATTTCTGCAAGTAAAAACTATGAATTGGGCAATTTATGGTGGAAAAATGGTCAGCATACAAGTACTGGCCATGTTTGTTGGAGAGGCCACTTGCTAATGGCTTTCTGCTGTAATATACCACCTGTATTATAATGGTGGTTATCATTACTTGTTAGGTTAAAAGGCAGATTTACGTAGTAGATTGGTACAGTTATATATAAATATAAGAGTTTTCTACTACTATTTTGTACTTAAAGCTTTAAAGTCCCCATTAAATCAAAATTAAAGTTTTTTGGGTGTTAGTATCAATATGTTAGTCATAAGGTTATCTATTATGCAGTGTGCTCCAAAACAGTGACAAAATTTGCATTTATAAGATATAAGCATTCAAAGCTTGCAGTTCGTCACTTCAACCAAAACGGCTCAACGATTTTTTGACGTCACATTGTACTTCATCTTCTCATCAAATCTTATGACCAATCAAATGCTCTCTAGAATCCGAAGCGCCGCCCCCTGCACTAGAAATAGACGCTGAAGCCGCGGCTAAGATCGGTCACTTGTTCACAGTGTAGTATTTCCTGTACGGTGAATGGCTTGAAGTGCACAATGTAGGTGATAGGGAACGATTCAGACAGTGTAAATATGCTTACGATTGGTGCAAATGAGGTCTGGTTTCACGTTGTTTCGTGCGAACCGCGGCAGCGCGCAGTCTGATCCGGACTTTGGCTCCGGTCCGGTCATATGCGCGAGTCGGTATATATTAAAAACTTTTACAACTACACAGCCTCAGCATGATTATGACCACTATTTTGTTTTACTAAGAGTTTCGTATTGAATCTAGGGGGCAATCTGTTAGACTGTGGCTGTCAATTACGGCTTTACCGAGAAGCATTCAAAGCTTGCAGTTCGTCACTTCAACCAAAACGGCTCAACGATTTTTTGACGTCACATTGTACTTCATCTTCTCATCAAATCTTATGACCAATCAAATGCTCTCTAGAATCCGAAGCGCCGCCCCCTGCACTAGAAATAGACGCTGAAGCCGCGGCTAAGATCGGTCACTTGTTCACAGTGTAGTATTTCCTGTACGGTGAATGGCTTGAAGTGCACAATGTAGGTGATAGGGAACGATTCAGACAGTGTAAATATGCTTACGATTGGTGCAAATGAGGTCTGGTTTCACGTTGTTTCGTGCGAACCGCGGCAGCGCGCAGTCTGATCCGGACTTTGGCTCCGGTCCGGTCATATGCGCGAGTCGGTATATATTAAAAACTTTTACAACTACACAGCCTCAGCATGATTATGACCACTATTTTGTTTTACTAAGAGTTTCGTATTGAATCTAGGGGGCAATCTGTTAGACTGTGGCTGTCAATTACGGCTTTACCGAGCTCAACGGCTCTGGCCCGAGCAGATATAAACTAAACGCTATTGGCCATTTAAAAAGGGGGCGGGGCTGCTCGATATGTCCGCCCTCTCTTCCCGTTTCAGTTGAAATTACGTCACCACGTTGAATAACAAGGCACTTCAGGGGACCTTTAATGCTAATATTGATATTTCTTTGTCTTTAAGGAGGAAAATGCAAAGAAGCGATTCTTCAGGAATTGACCTGAGCTGTACATCTGTTTGCCTTTCAATGATGATTTCATGCCATGTTTCTCAAAGAAAGTAATGTCTAGACTATAATGTAATAAGCTAAAAATGTTTTTAATAAAATGTAAAATCACTCTCTTTTTTATCCTTTTTAAAAGCTGCTTATATGCACTGAAGAGCAGTAAGAAACTCTTAAATAATGCCATTTCAAGAAAAAAAAAAAATATATATATAGTCAGAACTAGGAAAGAAATGAAGCAAGTTCACGGAGGAAGCTCTGTATGAAGTGCGCATGCGCGTTGCGGTTCAAAACAAAACGCTGCAGTTTACTGCGTGATTTCATCCTGGAAGACTCTGTCAAATATCGGTATGTCCAGACTTCATCCCTGTTCCTGACGACACCTGTTACATTTAACTCCGGTAAGAACAATTTGACACTAATATATAACATTTATCTGCAATAAAGAGGAAAGTGTGAAGATAATAGTAACAGTAGCTGTATTAGCAAGCATGCTACCAGAACAAAAGCAGTTTCGTACTAAATGGATTTACCTTTTAAATGTGTGGCTTGTTTGTATTATTATAATAGTAATATTTTCTCACTCCTTTTAATCTTTCCATTTGAAAGGCACAGTAGTTACAGTTGTAACGTGTTGCCTCCTGTTAAAGTCTCTGGTGAACATGATTAATAGCACAGTCACTGTTACTAACGTTACATCACACTGATATGATTTCCATAAAATCCTGCATTTGATCCTGCTTTGCATCCTGTGCACTCTGGAATATTTGTTTGGTCATGATGTCAATCATAAGTGGAGGTCAAGGAAATTAAGGTGGTTTGGTTAGTCGAACTGCAGGTTTTACTGGCACACCCTGAAAACAACAATAGAAAAATATTTATGTGCATTTGCAAATAATAACAAAAAACTATGCTTAGGGTTTTTTTTTTCTTTACCATTTTAAAGCCTTAAATATTAAATAATAATCAGAAAATAACGACCCCCCCCCCTTTAATGGAACAGTATGTGTTTTTCTTTATTTGTCACATCTTTTTATTTTTATATTTTATTTTTTATTTTCTGTTAATTTTTATAGTATGGAGCTCATACTCAAGGATGAAAAAACACTTGAACTTTATTCAGAGCCTCAAACTGAGCAAAAATTTGCAATTTGGTGCAGTTGTTAATAATTATATGGCCAAAGAAAATAAAACTCTTGTAATGTACATCAATTAAATCTTTATAACAGTATGGCAGACTACGTACATAAAATGCATATTAATATCAGTTGTCACTCTGTATTTCCCAATAGTATGTCTTAGTAAGGTGATATTGAAATACTTAGTTTTATGATCAAAGCTCTGTAGTTTTTAGTGTGGAGGCTAAGCATACAATGCAGTGCAATAAAATGATGATTGAGAGATAAAACAATAAACATTCCTCAAAAGACTGATGGATCATATTTGATACTCAAAAAAAAAAGATGTATGCATAAACAAGTAAACATACGTTGCTTCAATCCATATTGTAATATATACATTATATGTTACAATATAAAAGTTGATATTATGTTTACTACAGCAAAAAGATGTGAACTGTGACCTGAAGGTGGACTTTTTTACAATTACACAAAAAGGCTTTTTCACTCACCAAACTTGTTTCAGTAAATGGGTGATTTGGTCTATTCAGAAAGTCTCTGAAACAAAATTATGCTCATCTTTGAAATATGCATGAAAACAATACTACGTTATGTGCAGTTTTACTGCTGCTACATCATGACATGATGCTGATGAAAATTGTATATTTCTGAAAACTGCGATGAATGTCTTAATACAGTGCTGTCTATGTTTACCAGTAGGCTATGATGACCAACAATGCTGTCAAAATAGGCAGCTCACTAGGTTTTAATGCCCAAAAATGCTATCTTTATAGGCAGGCAGGGCTGTACGTTAACTTTTTTTTCACATAGCACTGGTGCTACAGAGGTTGAAAGTTTTGTAGCACAGGCCAAAAAGTTGTAGCACAAGTATAAAACGTCTGTTATCATGTCTGAAAACAAACACAAGTAATGGAGTTCATCACTTAAACAGGCACTGATGTTCCATACAGGGCACAAAAAATACAAACCATCACAAAAATTGTTTTTAGACAAAGTTTTCTTAATTTGCTAAAAATGGAAGAGTGCAGAAACATAACACCTCTTACACCTTAACAAAATATAAAATAAAAAAGAATGGCAGACATTTAGGCCAAAGTGAGCCTCATTATTTTATCTTTGTTATTAGAAAATAAGAAACACAAACAGTGCACTGTGTTTATATGTAAACCTTGTGTGTTTTTGACAGTATTAGACTATAAATCATTCAGACGCGAAAGACAACTTAGTCCAAAAATCAGGCTTTTTGACAGGCTCTCAGTGTGAGCGCACTTCATGAGTACGCGCTCAGAAAAAGCTTAAATTAAATGTTTAACCGGTATTGCTTTAAAGCAGATGGAAATAGTGTAGTTTGGTATGTTATAGTCCCCCAAAATGCAGTCTAGATCAGTTTGATGGCTAAAAATGCCTCATGCATTTGGTTTTGTAACATAGATGTCTGTTCTCCTCACTTATTTATTTTTCTTTTTTTATATTTGTGACCCTGGACCACAAAACCAGTCATAAGGGTCAATTTTTCTAAATTTGTTAGGATAGGACACATTTTGGCCGAGATACAACTATTTGAAAATCTGGAATTTGAGGGTGCAAAAAAATCTAAATATTGAGAAAATCACCTTTAAAGTTGTGCAAATGAAGTGAGCAATGCATATTACTAATCAAAAATTAAGTTTTGATATATTTACAGTAGGAAATTTACAAAATACCTTCTGGAACATGATCTTTACTTAATATCCTAATGATTTTTGGCATAAAATAAAAATCAATAATTTTGACCCAT